AATATTCTTGTATGGTTTTCTGATCCGGTTGATCTGAAGTATATAGTTTTTGGTAATAGTCGCTAAAAATCTTAACTATGTTGTCAGATGTTACTTGTGTTTTGCCCTCTGCATTTCTCATTGCATGAACTATTGTTGTTACTCTTTTTTGTTCTAGGATTTTAAATATTCTTGTATGGTTTTCTGATCCGGTTGATCTGAAGTATATAGTTTTTGGTAATAGTCTCTAAAAATCTTAACTATGTTGTCAGATGTTACTTGTGTTTTGCCCTCTGCATTTCTCATTGCATGAACTATTGTTGTTACTCTTTTTTGTTCTACCTTACTTTTAAGTATTCTTATTGATTTTGAAGTTCTCGTGACATATTTTTGTTTTAAATACAGTAGATTTTTTTGTAACTTTGATGTTTCTAATAATTCTAATTTTTTCCTTTCTTGTTCTAATTTTTTCAATATTTTTTTCCCTCCAAAATGCATGTGTTTTGTTTCTAGTTCTTTTATGTTTCTCTGGAGGTCATTTACTAATTGTTGTTTTTCTTTTTTATAGTAAGAAGCTATCGAAATTAATTGGCCTCTCAACACGGCTTTGAAAGCATCCCAAACTGTGATCGGACTTACTTCTGCTGTGATATTGTTACTGAAATATTCTTTTATTTTCTCATCTATCTCATTTGTAAATCTGTCAGTTAATAATAAAGATTTGTTTAGCATCCAGTTTGGGCCTTTGTTGTCCCCTTTTTGGTATTGAATTAATCCACTGATCGAAGCATGATCTGAGTGTGTTATGGAGCCTATCTCCGTATCTTGAAAGTGTGGTAGTAGGTTCAAGGAAGCCAGTATATAATCTATCCTAGAATATGTTTCTTGTGCATGTGAATAAAAAGAAAATTCTTTTTCATTAGGGTGCATAATCCTCCAGGTATCTACTAAATTGTTTTGTTGTAAGATAACATCTAGTTCTGTTTTGGCTTTGTTCGTTTTTCTTGTCCCTGCCTTATTGCGTTTATATGTGCGATCCAGTATGGGATTAACAATATAGTTCAGATCCCCTCCAATCAGTAATTCTCCTTGTTTAAAATTCTTTAGTAGGTCTAACACAACATTGGCATCTCTTATGTTGTTATGTTCTTATGTTCTTAATTGAAACCAGGTTCCTCTCTGGCATTACTAACATTTTAAACAAGAGACATCATCTCTTCCTTAAAATGTTAATAGATTGTTAGAATAATCAATTCCTAATGTCTTTAAACCGGAAAAAACACACCCAGATGTTCTCTTCCATCCTGCCTGTGAGACAGAAGAACAGTCCAGAGTAGGTTTGAGATTAAATTATGGAAGCCATTTGAAGATTTATCAAATCAGGAATGCTTGATCTGCTGATTTTAATCTGTATTTTTGTATGTTTTTAACATTGTAAACAGCCCAGATTTAATTTTAGCATAGAAGCTTGTCCAATTGTTAAAGATATAATTTCCTCTATCATTAATAGACTATCGCTTGATTTTAGAGAGAGAAAACCGAAGTAAGGGCAGAAGGACTCTGGAAATGTACATAACAATTCATAATATTTCATAAACATGATGAATTTATACTTTTTCCCTACCCCTTTCTTCCTTCTCTAGCTCACCCTTTTAAAGAGAAAATAATAAAAATTCAATTTAGTAAATAGCTGAGAGCCCTATGTACTCTGGGATCCAGAATGACTGCCATGGAAATAGTGAACATGTAATCCACATGGAAACAGCAAACGCATGATTGAGAAAGGGAGCTTTTGAAAGCAGGGTAAACTTTCTGGATGGTTCCCGCATGCCAGCAGTTCTTTGCATGAAAGCCTTTTTTCATGCTGGAGTCACAGCTATTTCCTTGTTCTTTCCAACCTGGAAGCAGGCCAGGTCCTAGCTGCGAAGTTGTAAATGCCGCCTCCGCCCCCCATGGCTAACTCCGGCAGCGTTCTGACCTCCCTGCAGAATCCCAGCAGTGGCTACATCTCTCTCAGACTGTCCATTCAAGTCTCTTCCACCCCCCCTCCCCAGCTTTCATTCTGTGTCGCGCTATTCTGTAAAGCAGAATCTAAAAATAGACAAGGCAAAAATAAAACCACACATTTTCCAAGTCTGTGTCGTAGACTCTCTGACAGTAATGCCATCAAACTGAAAACCTTAGCAGCGCGGACACATACAAAATGAAGCAGACAGAAACAGCACTCAGTGGCATAAAATGAAAAGGAGGCTCTTCAGACTCAAGGCCAAATAACACGTTACCGTCTAATGCATTTAACAGTGCTCCGAGCTCTCCCACCACCCCCATAAAAAACAGTTTCATGAAGAGGGAATTTAAGGTCAGATTAGAGCAACAGGAGGATATGCGTCTATATACGGTATGTTGTCCTGTTCATGTGTAAATCAAAGTGTTCAACCCCAAACTAAATATGATGAAGAGATGGGCACAAAAATCCTCCTCCCTTCTCCATCACACCTTGCTGAGTCGCTTCAGGTTGCATTCAGATGTAACAAACCTTTATCAATTGTTATGGAAAGAAGACCTGGAAATCCATGAGCTCATTGTGTCCCTCCTCCTCTGGCACTCAACGCAGGGTAGGAAGAATTTTGCATTTCCAACAAACCATTCTTTGCTTTTTCATCCCAACTGGCCAAAGAAACAAAGAAGTATAGTTTGCTGTAAATGTGGATTATCTTCATTCCTCAAGCTCAAAACAAGGGCAAGAGAGAGGGGGATCAATTTCCAAAGCTTTGGTCCAGCAAGAATAAACGATGTCATTTTATGATGTTAAAATAAGCTGGAGGGGTTTATGGGGAGGTAAGAACCATTTGGAAATCCACACACCACAAACCTTCCCCTCCAGTATTCTGCAAAGGTTTTGAGCAAGCTTCTGACATGACATTGTCATGTGTTCATTCCACTGTGTTTTGCTAAACTGCTTTGGTACAGGTCTGGGGAAAAGAGTGAGCAGAGTTTTGCACCCTCCTGCCCACATCCAGCACCATTATACCATCCGCCACACACACACACACTCCTGGGGGGCTTTTTGCTGGCTATTTCCTGATAGTAGACAGATAGCTATAGCAAGATTACACTATAACACTAACAGTAATATAGTGATAGTAATACAGATATTACTTTAAAAAACCTTGCAAACAAAAAACACTCTGGTGGCGAGGGAGGGGGAATGGCAGATGTGAGGAGATACCACAGGAAATACCTCCATGTGGAATCTCTGCTGCTGAGCATGGGAGAAGAATGGCCACTCATCTCCATGTGGAAACTGCCACAGACGCATCCCACTGCCACTTCGTAAGCAAAAGAGAATCCGGCACCTACTCACCCCCTGTTGTTCGAACAATTTTTAAAATGCAGAATCCCCCTTTCCTAGAATTAAATAGCATAAGGCTCTAGATTCCCCCCAAAGTGCCATTTACAGGCAGCAGGCTGTGGAAGATCAGTAGTTCAGCAGTTCGAGATCGGGTGCCGCATGATGGAGTGAGCTCCCATCTCTAGTTCCAGCTCCTGCCAACCTAGCCGTTCGAAAGCAAGAAATTGCAAGTAGATAAATAGGTACCACTTCAGTGGGAAGGTAACAGCGTTCCGTGCGCCTTGGTGTTTAGTCATGCCGGCCACATGACCACGGAAACGTCTTCGGACAGCGCTGGCTCTTCGGCTTTGAAACCGAGATGAGCACTGCAACCCTAGAGTTGGATATGACTGGCTTTCGAGCAAGGGAACCTTTACCTTTTCCTGGGGTAAAGCTTTGCCCGCAAGAGTTTGTCCTTCCCACCTCGGCCACCTTATTATGATTACCCAGGGTCCCTCACTCTTTCTCCCCCTCTGTCAGAGAGCTGAGTTGCCTAGAGAGGTGCTCCCCAGGAATTCCCACCCACCCATCCCTTGTGGGATTCTCCCCTTTCCCAAAAAAACCCCTAGAGGACAGAGATTCACAAATTTTACAAACATTTGTATTTACAGACAGTCCAAAATACTGGGCACAGGCATTATTATTGGCAATGAAAGCAAGGCTGAAAAGAACCAGCAGTAAAGAGGGGGGGTCAAACCAAGGTATCTGGTGCTGGAGAAACACAGAGATCAGGGTGCAGGCGCCCCAGACCCCAAGCTCTGATCCGTTGCCAACTGCCAGTTTTAACAACAGGAAGGTGCTTCTCAGACCAAAGACAAGCCAAGGACACCAGCTTGAAAGAAAACTGGTGACATCTGGGGCCTTACCTCTGTCCATTTCCCATTCACCTCCACAAATAAGACACAGAAGGGGTCGGATTTAGAAGTCACATCTCTATCCAGAAGATTTTGACCGCACACAGACAATTCCACTTTGCAGACGCAGTACTGGGGCCCCACGGGCACAGAAGAAGCTGGGCTTACGGTGTACGCCATCGACTCAGGCAGCAGCAGTTCCTGACAATCTGCAAGAGACAAAAAAGGAGTTAAAAAGGAGAAGGCAACAAATAAGGAAAGAATTTAAGAGGCACCTTCTTCCCAAGAAATGGCACAGCACTTGCCACTGGGTTTGGCACAATGGCCAAAAGCATGAGCAGAGAAGCTCCTGATTCCACTCTCCGTGCCTTTACAAGCTCATTAGGTGGCCTCTGACAAGCCACTTATCTTCAGGCCTCTGCTATGCAATGTGGTGATTACAACATGGGCCTAGCTTACAGGGCTGTCGTAGAGAGTACTGAAATAATGGTTTGCTGTAGGGTTTAGTGCCATAAGAACAAGCACAGGAAGCTTGGTGCTAGTATGCTCACTCTTCCCTGAGACACTAGTTAGTTATTTCAGGATTCTGATAGGGTCCCCAGCTGTGTTCAACCCGTAGACACTTCTGGAATTTTAAGAACAGGTAGTGGGCATGGCACCAAAATGGCTGCCACAGAGGCTAAGTCCACTGACAAAACGTTGGGAGGCTCCAAGCCACATATCCTCCTGCGATGAAGGCAGCCAAATGATTGCTCCATGCAGACACAAAGATGATGCCTCTTGGGCTCTTTCTACAGGAAATTAAGGACTGGATGTTTGTTTTGCAGAAACTGCAATGGAGCGAGCATACTGGTGGGTGCCACGGTGCTTACGGGGACCACACTGGGGGTTCTACATGATAAATTACAGCTTCCCCCATTCTAAGATTGTCAGGTACCAATGGCACGCCAGCAGGGGGTGGGAGGGCCTTTCCAGGAGTGGGGAGGAGTGCCACAATGTGCCTATGCCACCCGGAAGTGACATAAGCACATCATGGGCAACACTCTGGTTATTGGGCAAAATTCTATAGCAAAATTGGCCTCAAACTATAGAGTTTTGCCCAAAAACCTGAGCACCCCCACCATGTACATCACTTCCGGGTGATGTAGGCACATCACACAATGTTGCTGTTGGGGGGGGTTTCCTCCCGCCAGCCAACGGCAGGCAGATGCACACAAAACCGGACAATCCTCTCCCCCAACTGGGGAATGGCAACCCTACCCAGCTCGTTCTCAAAAAGAGGTCACCTTTACATCTGGACCTGGCCAGGGCAAAGGATGCATTTTCAAAACTTTAAACATAACTGCTAAGCAAGTTTTCCTGCATTACACAGTACCAAGGGTTTTCGCCATTAAATTTGCTTTCAATAGGTGAGGCCGCCAGTCTTGGCTTTGTATGATATGGCTGTTTGCAAGTATGTGAGTGGAAAGAACAGGTTTGGTTTTTTGAATTTTTTTTAAAGTCCATACACCTAAGAAAGAACTACACACACAAAAAAGCCCTAAGTGTTCTCATTGCTCTTCCAAGGAGTGGCTTTCCGCCTTCTTGTTTTGAGACTGCAATCACAACCGGAAGCAAGGCAAGAAAAAACAGGTGCCTTTGCCTGCCACAGCCAAGTGGGCTGCATAGATCGCTCAGCCATCTGGACTGGCAGAAGAGACCAGGGGCGGTAACCACCCACTCTCGCAGACCATCCTCCCAGATCTGTTTTACAGCTTCATCTTTGCAACAGAAGGACAGCTGGAAGAACCTTTACACTATAGTTCACAGGGCTGTCGCTGCCTCGAGCTTAAAACTTTAAGCATCATCTTTCCCCAGTTCAGTGAACCATGTGTCCTTCCATATGGCTGAGCATTAAAACCTGATTTACAGATTCTTTCTATTTGCAAAAGGCATGAATGGCCGAGAGCACACATACTCCCCGACACTCTCTGTCTCTCTCTCTCTCACACACACACAGCTGTTGACAGCTGTGGTCTTCATTCACTTAAGGGTCAGTGATTTATTCAAGCTTCCCTCCAACCATCCAATCCCTCCCAGTTATAATTTAAATCTTTTTGCCAACTGAGAGTTGTCACTCCCATGGTTCATCTGGGAGGAAAGGTTTGAGACACAGAAGAACAGAAATGATAGAAGGATTTGGTTTGCGAGAAAACAGCTTGCCCAAAAGACACAACCCAGAAATACACAAATATGGCAGCTGGCCAAAGTGAGCCTCTGCCAAGTCGTGTGCAGTCTGTACGTGCTCACTGACCCACATGTCTGTACATCCTTCCCCCATCCCTTCACAAGCCCTTTCCCCACTGGTACTCACAGATGCCTGTATCAGCTACATGTTTGTTCCCAGCATACGTCTGGAAGCATGGATGGCACAGTGCTTGCCAGTAAGCAGGTGGGGAAAAGGTGTGTGTGTGGGCAGCAGGGGAGGCATGTGGACAGTTGCAGTGGTCCCTGCCAGAACCTCTGGCAGCTGCACCCCCCCTGGGTATGTTGACACCAGCCCTGAACGCTCCCTTTGTCAGATACCAAAGGAGCTTTGATTCTTGAAAGTCTTGTTGGCCTTTGAGATACTACTGTACTCAAATCCAGCTCTTCTGCTGCCAACCAAGACGACTGCCCACTCAAACTATCTTCAAGTAAACCAGAAGAGCCCCTAATGTC